GACTCATGGAACAAGCGGCAAGACCTCAAGGTCATTATTTCATTATTGTTATAATGTCGCTGCTTAGCTCATACCCTTATCCAAAAAGCCCTGTGATTTAGACCATTTAAAACACTGGGTATGTTTGCTGCATTAAGATTCCTTATCCAAAGGTTCAACAAAACATTCTTTTTCCAAAGTTTCTGTAATTTATCAAATGTATTCACAAATGAGATATAAGTGCTGTTTTTTATCAAATATTTTAACGTTTATTGGGGATTTTTTTTATCAAGACAATGATAGACAACACTATCACCACTGTGCCCAGGCAGATCATTTGAGACCGTGTAACAGAAACTGTATCACTACAGAGAAACCTAAAATTCCACATGCAAATGCGAAAATAAAGAACCACATTCCATTACCCATTAAAAAAAAAACTTACATTTTTAAAAACATTTGGAAATTAAATTGCTTTTTTCCTGCCTTCATCTTGCAATAATTCACAGGATAATTGCCATGTTTCAGTATCAACTGGAGTCCAAGCCAGTGGTGACAAAAAACCAGTTTTAAGGTGTCGTAAGCAATAATAGCTGGTAGACCTGAAAATTCCACATGGCTGTCCAGTTGCATTTTGCCAAGTGCTGTCACATCCTGCAACCAATTCGAGTTTCTCACTTGTGTTATGGTCTGAAAATTCATTTTGCTGCATATAAAATACGGTGTTGAATCGGTACATGTTTATCGTGAGTAGCTAAGGCTCTGGTACAGGTGAATATCCAATTCTAAAACACATACCATCACCGTGTCCATCTCTGGGCAGCCATTCACAGGAAATGGGACTGAGCAGGTATAGACGTGAGTTTCAGTCGCATCCCATAGATGAACAATGGCCAAGATGTGCTGACAGGACCAAGCCTGGCATGGAGGCATGCCCCGTCTGCTGTAGCATGCGTAACTATGTCACATGAGCATGAGGTTAGAGAGGACACGGGACACCAAAGGGAGGTCTTTTCCTCAAATGACCCTCGCATTCATGTGAGCATGAGGGAAACTCTAACAGAAATATTACAATAACATTTTGAAATGGGTAACTGATGTACAGATTAAAGAATAATAAATGGGATGAAATTGTATGTTGGCAGAAGCAATGGGAATTTTTGTAATGTCAATCTTGAGGGATTTGTGTATTAACAGTAATCACACAGCCTAGGAGATACCATTAGCGATAACTTTTCGTAGCCTGGCCCCTTTCACGGCGTACATTTGAGAGGAGTGCACTATTGTTGTTGGAAGACCAGGAGTACCTTTTAAGGGGATATTCTTACAGGAGCATGCAGAGCATGCAAGGGTTTTAACCGGCGAGTCACGAAACAGCATCTCGAGATCAATAGCTGTATACGTGCCCTTCTGTCTAGTGGAACGGGACTCGTCAGGCACTGCTGACAGAGCCTCTGCATGGTTCCCAGTCATGGGCCTCTTGCACTTGTCTCCATAACTCCTAGCCGTGCTGAGAAGCCTCACTGTAATACTCCCAGGCAGTCCCACGAGCTAAACACTCTCCCAACATCATCTCCTTCACAGGACTACCACAAAAAAAAAAAAAAAGAAGAAATTTGCACATGTTAGGTGCTAAATTTTTCCTTTCCAGAACATATTTTTAATACAAACTTGAAATGGAAGCTGTTACAATTCACAGAAGAACATGTGAAGTCCAAGACAATTCTCAGTAACCTATGCCTTTTCACCTAAATGTCCCATAAATGTGGTTCCAATTTGTTGAAAACCATATAAAATCTCTGAGGTCTGGCTGTGTTTGTGCCATTACATGTGAAGCAGCTTTAAGCTAAAATCAAAATGCATTTTTATATGCAAGCCCTCTTCTTACTCTGTTGCATTGTGTGTAGCATATTTTCTGGACAGAAGCTGTTGTGGTCAGAGTGGTGGTCACCATGGGAACAGAAGTCTGCTATCAGTAACCATAGAAACAATGGGCATTAACATCACTCTAAAAATGCCCTTTCACTACTACGGTTAGTAATATAGAAAAATGAAGCATCACCAACAGTAATTATAAATACATCAGAAATATACAATAACTATAATACTATTCATTGAGGACTATTCGTAACTACATAAAACAAGACAATACCAAGATCTTTAGCTATGTATTTTCAACAGATGAATGTGGATCTGGAGTTAAATTAATCATGAGTTCCGTGTTAGACATGATTTAACCAAAACTTTAACCAATAGTTTTTTGGGGTGAAGGTATTAAAAGATTTACTTCAGTAAATGTGTATTTAAGAGGCAAAATGCCCAAGAACAGAGCTTGTTATGCGGCGTATTCAGAAAAGGTGACTTCTGGTTTAGAAACACCAGACTTCTCCAGAGTCACTTTTGTGGTTTTCTTGTAACAAAACATACAAATCAAGGCTATTAGACAATTTGAATCATAAAATTCAAAATGTGCTGTCTTTTAAAGACCCTTTTGGTCTAATTTATTGTTTTTCTTCAGCTGCAGCCTTCTCAGATTCTACAGTCCCTCGATGCTATTATGACATCATGAGATTTAGCTAATAGGAAAAAATCTATTGTCTTCAAAAAAGGATTCCAGAGGTTTTAGAAAATAATGTGAAGGCTATCCGCTCGTTTAATTTGAGCTTTATGTAAACCAAGTACAAGACAACATGACAATAGAAGAAGGAAGTTTTTAAACAGCAATATATCTGTATGTGTCAAAAACGGAAAATAATTTTTGGAAACAAATATTGATATGTATTTCTCTTACTAAGTAAATTTCACATTGCCTAATTTCCTTGACAACATTTGGAATTATTATTGATAATTATACTGCCATTTACAATTTTTACAACAAAACAAATAATTATGAAAAAGTAAAAACATAAGTTAGCAAAAATGCTCTTCAGTTAAATTACAACAAAAATGTTAAAACAGACACTAGGGCAATGTGCTGTTTTGTTAGCAAGCTAAAACTATCCACAGGTTTAATTAAAATCAATACAGTACCCAGATTATTTCTGTTAACAATGGATGAGTTCAAGTTTAATATACAGACAGCTGGAGGCTAGGCTGCAACACTGTATCACATTCCAAATAATCAGCTATATATGGGACAGTTCTAGACTCTTTGGGCAGTGGTTCTCAATGGGGGAGGGGGAGGCACGGTCCACTAGGGGGCCACAGTGAGGGGCCGTGCAATTTATTTAAAAAGCATAGAAAAAATTATGAAAATAAGTTGCTACGAATTTGGGTGGTATGAGTTTTTGGGTGGTATGAATTTTTATGGTATATTGATATTGTTTTCAAATGAGATATAGCATGACACAATACCTTTTATATCAATATTCTTTTACTGTGGATTAAAATCAGGGCTTTAGTAAAGATTTTTTAATAGAAACCAATAGTATTCCTTCCTGGTTGTAAACAGTGCCAGAGCTGCGGTGATGATGTAGCTCACAATCACAGAATTCACAGCTAACATCAAACCATCCAGTTGGCGGCATCTCACAGATAAGCTGATGGAGGGGAAAGGTGAGGAATCATTGTAACTTGGTTCATTTTGTTTTGGTACGTTGTTAAATATATAAAGTATTTGCCTTATTTTGTTGAAGGCTAATACTTTAGAATGATGGTCTTTTCACCTTCAACGCACTTTTAATGGTTGTCAGGCTTCAAATTATAGAAGCCATTCTTCTGTTTTGAGAGTAATGTTATAAACTGAGAAAAAAGAATGTTGGAGGACATAGAGGAGTGAATCCTTGTTTCTTTTTTTCTTATTTCAATAAAAGAAATTCAGTTGTTTGGCAGTGTAACCAAATAAAAATGTGTTTATATTAAAAAAACACTGGCAATATTTGTCATGATTGCAGAAAAAAGAAGAAAAAACACAACATCATAACCTGTGTAGGAATCCCCAAACATGTTCTCCTGAAAACAGGAGGACCATGAGTGAAAAAAAAAGCTGAGAACCACTGTCTTATGGGAACCAATAATTGGGTTTTGCTGCTAAGTGATTTCAAAGATCACGTATCACTCCACAGCTCAACCGTGACAACGCTCATCGTGATCCTGTGGTGCGGAGCCAAACACTGCAGGAGAACACCACTTTTTTTTTAAAACTAGAAATGTTCTCTCATGATTAGATAACTGAAAGGAAGTGAGACTTTTATAACCTGTCATTACCGTCCAAAGAACACTGTGCTCCCAGCTAATAAAAAATAAATAAGCTGTATTGACATGTTACCAGTTGGAAGCAAAACAGCTAGGAAAGTCATTTCCAAAACAAATGGGAAGATGGAATTTCCAGACGACAGAAAAATGCTTGCATTCATACGCTGGGGTCTTACACAAATGTTCCCCCAAGGTCTCTATCTCTGACTGCTGTAAAGAGTTTGATCAATGCTTCAGAGACTGAGGAATTTAAGAACGACAACATTCTCTCCTGGCCAAAGGGGAGAATTGGATGACCCGCGACACAATCGTCATCCCAGTCCCAGGCAGGCCCCGTACTTATGACCATCGATGGAAAGTGCTAAACAAATGCTTCACTCACTTCATACTGTGGCAGTACACAAAATTAACATAGACACTGCTGGTATATGGGGGGCTTTAGCACTAACATCTATATGAATCAAAACCAGGCAAAGATTCATGCTACAAGGACAGCTGTTTCACAAAGGATGGCAGAGCTGGCTGAAGATGTGTGATGTCATTTCAGAACCCCCCCCCCCCTCCCAAGTTTGTTTTGGTACGGTCCGTTTGTTGTCTCAACAGTGTTTTAACTTTCCTGAACTCTGTTGCCATAAAATCAAGATTAAGGTTATATAGTGAGCTTCTAAGACGCTTAAAGGAGTTTATACAGTTCACCAAAGATGGATATCAGCAGTTGGCATTAACAGCAAAAAGGCACAAAAAAGACAAGATTTTCCACAGAAAAAAAACAATACAATGGAACTGCCACAAGAACAGGAGAATGCTGACTCAGCACAACAGACAGGTTTTTTTTGTGTTTCTAAATTTATTGTTTTCTTTGCTCAGCTTTATTTTCTCCAACTGCTTTAGTCTTGTCATTGAAAAAGCTTTATTAAATTACACATTTCTACAAAACAATGTTCAGAATTATAGAAAAATTCTTAGTCCTCCCACTTAGGGAAAAAAGGCAAATATCCATCAAAGTTATGTAAACAAGACCGTAGTCCACTTGAGGGAACATACAAGGGAAATATCCTTAGACTACTGAGCTACGTCAACAATATATACATTCTTCAAAACATTCCCCTCACCTAACCTGGTTGATCAATGAAAACATAATCTTCACTTGTCCATAATGTTCAGCTCAGTGATTCTTGATGGATGTAAAAGAAAAAAAACAACTATTTACATAATGAGAGAACGCATCAGTTTGAATTTATGAAGAACTGCTGGAGGAGGGCCAGGCTTTTCCAGTTTACTAGTACATCAAGATTGTGTTTGTGTCTGAGTCACTATGTTTAGCATTTATGATACGTTTACTTTGGGATTTTAGTATATAGCTGCCATCAACTGCCACAAACACTTTGCTGAAGGTGTGTTAGTTGACGTCTCATGTCAGGCACAAGAATTCTGAACTGTTCTACAGGATGTCGACTTTAAATACAATGATACCCTGGCCTTCAAAATCTCTTGTGACAAGCCGAGGCCACATCTCTGAGGGAGATTTCCAGCCTCCATTCCACGTGGGGAGCCCCATGCCTTTGTTTAGCACTAAGCGCCTTAGTAATGCCTAACACCTTCACATCAGCTGTGAACCCCAAGAAAAAAAATGTCAAATTATACAGCATACCAAGAACTGAATTAGTATCTGTTCTTCTAGCGAGCATTATCTCTTTTTTTATAAATATATTAAAATGAAGATGTACTCAGTCACACGTTGCAAATACTCAGAATCACGAACACATTAAATGACTGTCCCATTAACAAAACCAAGCATTCAAACTCTTCTTACATACAGAAATACATGTATAACCAAACAAAATGACAGCCCCTTGGCATGAATAGTTGACATTTTCCATTAACAAAAATCAGTATAAAAATATATATAAACAAAGTGTTTTTAACACTAACTCAGCAATCTTGGCCCCCCTATATGTGCAAAAACTGGGTGGTTGCAGATGTCTTTGAACACCACTTGGATTTGAAGGGAGGAGATCACTGATAAAGGGTGACCACACGGTTTCATTGAGACGCCAAAAACCTTGATCCACATATATGCTCAACTGAACCAGTTCCAGGCCATCAACCCTCTGGCCAGCCAGTGAGGCTGAGCAGCACTACTGAAATACTGAGGTGGTGCTTTTTTAAAGACTCCCTAGAACAATACCAGGCAGGAGGGGAATAATGACACTATGTTAGCATTAAGGTATCACAGTGTGTCCTGAGACCAGCGGTGTCAAATCCTCATCTCTGCCTCCTCACCCTGCTCCAGAGAGTGCTCTGCCGTGCTTATTATGGAGGTCGGGGGACCCTGACTCACTCCAAACGGGGAGATGGTGGGGGAGCAGGCCGCCAGTGGCGAGAGCGAGGGGGAGAAGCTGGGGGACATGGCTGTTGAAGAAATGGAGCCATCATGGCTGATGGGTGATCGCCGAAGGGACAACAAGTGTGGGAACGTCCGTCCAATGGCTGGCTTTGGAGGGACAGATTTGGCCCCTGGATGGGCTACAGATGTAATGAGGGGTGGCGGGTCGATTCTAGGTTTAGGGTCTGTCTTTGCTTTGGGATGAAAGGGTCGACGGTGACTGGGTGGAGCATTCTCATCCTTTAAGCGGGCAATCTCAGTGAAGACACTGGCCAGGGGCTGGAACTGGGGGCACCAGTTCAACAGATAGTCCCAGTTGTAGCTGCCCCGAAGCTCTTCGTCGCTGGCCACAATGGCTGTGAGAGACCCATCTACGGATGGCTTCCCATCTTCAGGAAAAGCATAGTCCTTGGGGTGTGAAAGACTTAGCCCTCTTCCCACACTCAAGTAGCCTCCACCTTCATCCCTATAGATGGGGTGCTGTCCAGGCAACAAAGTCCCACTAAGCGCTCCCAGCTTCTTCCCTTTGAACCACTGTCCAGTCTCCATCCCTGGCTCACAAGAGGTATCTGACAGTTGGTCGGCATCCTGCTGGATTCCAGAATCAGGCCCCCGAGCAGAAATGTGCTCCTGCATGGAGGAAGAGATGCTGGAGACTCGTGGGTACTCATTGATCATCCGGATCTCATCATCTTCTGCTGCTTCTGCCTCAGCAGAGCCCCTCCCACTGGAGTGAGAGGGGTCCAGGGATCCTCCACGGGGATATGGCACTCCGCCCGTCCCACCCTGATCAGTGGTGTATCCCGGTAACGTCTGATGATAGATTCTCTCAGCTCCAGTCACCCTCGATTCATCAAGCTTCTGCAAGACAGTGCCAGGTGCCACTGTTCTGTTATGGTCATCCTCCTTTTTCCTCTGGCGTCTTGACCTCAAAAAGACGAGGATGATGGCAATGATGACTAAGACAACAATGGACCCCAGGGAAGCAGCCACAATGCTTATAAGCAGCATGTTGACATCTGACACTAGGCCAAAAGAAGTGTGGGTAATGTCAATGGTCAACTGTGCTATAGCGACACGGGAGGTCTCCAAAGGGCTATGGGCCATCACATCCAGGTCCATCTGCCGAATCTCCCTCTTAGAGCGTCCGCCAACAGTGTGAGTGCTCGACCCGTCCATCTTCAGGAATATGATACCTGTTGTTTTGTTGATGTCGAAGTATGGTGAACCGTTGATGGAATACAGCACAATGCCATCTACACCACTGTCCTCATCTCTGGCATGCACCTGCCCAATGCTCTGCCCCTTCCTGGCTCCCTCAGGAACCTTAAAAGAGAAGTCTGTTGTGGTGAAAACTGGCTCATATTCATCTTCGCCAGTCACATAAACCTGCACGGTGACTGTGGCCGAGTAGTTCCCGGGATCTGTGGCCTGAGCCACAAAGCTGAAAGAGTTGACTTTCTCATAGTCAAATGACAAGCGAGTCCGGACCTCCCCTGATGTCTTGTTGACCGTGAAGGCATCTCTACCAACTCCAGATTTTTCCAACATGTAGTACTGTAACTGGCCGTAGACACCAGCATCATAGTCAATAGCATGCAGCATGGTGACGATTACATTGGGTGGCTGGTTTTCACGGATGCTTACTGTCAACATTTTCAGGGGGAAATAAGGTCTGTTGTCATTGATGTCTTTCACTTCTACATTGACGGGAGCCAGGGCATAGTGACCATTGCCATCGGAGGCCTGGATGATGACCACATGGGCAGACTGCCTTTCGCGGTCCAAAGGTCTCTGAAGCTGCATGATTCCTGTCCACTGGTCCACCGAGAACAGCTCCATCTCATTCCCTGAGCTGATAGTGTACTGAATTTTGGCGTTCACAGGAGAGTCCGGGTCAGTGGCGGTCAAGCGCAGGACCTCCATTCCAGTGGGGGACCCCTCGCTTAGTGCCACACTGTACTCCGTACGGCTAAATGCTGGCGGATTGTCATTGGCGTCGGTTACAGTGATGATGACCTCCACGCTAGAGCTGCGCTGTGGTACTCCGCGGTCAGACGCCACGACCGTGAGGTTGTAAGAAGGCTGGGACTCGAAGTCCAGCTGTTCAGCCAGTATGAATGTGCCCACAGTTTGGAAACCCCGCCCCTCCAGGAAGCGCACGCTGCTCTCGATTTGGAAGGTGTTCCCTGCGTTGCCGCTGGCAATGGTGAAGTCGAAGCCGCAGTTTTCCCGTGATAAGTCTCCATCCACTGCCTCCAGGGTGAGGATGGTAACTCCGGGCAGACTATCCTCTGACACGGAAGCCCTGTACTTTGACTGGTGGAACATGGGTGGGTGGTCATTGAAATCTGTCACCAGAATCTGCACGGTGGTGATGGAGGACAGTGATGGGATCCCGCCGTCTCGGGCCTCGATCACCACAGTGATAGAAGGATGCTCTGAGTCAAATTCTGCTTTCTGGTTGATAAACAGAGTGCCTGGTGAAAGACAATAGTGATAAATGTTAAAAGAAACAAAACACCATGAACAATGCTCGCTTTTGCTCTAGCAGTGCTATAGCACACTGAAACTCAATTACTTCTCAGTCTCCATGTAGCTGCTACACCTTGATGTCACTACAGTCATTTCCTTTTAAAATGCCTAATATGTATAGTATATCTCAAATTTATATTATAACAAATTTTCAGATGAAATGACATTTAAAAACAGTGACTTCCCAGCAAGCTATGGACACCAGTTTTTCATCTTAGCTTGGACGGTAGCGCCAAAAGCAAACGACAGAGGTGCTGCATCCTTACCATTGCTGGCGTCGATGTAAAAACCATCCAGGGTCGATGACATCACTCGGTACGTGACCTTTCCATTCTCCCCAGAATCTCGGTCCGTGGCGGTTACCGTGATAACAGAACTGCCCGGTGCGGAATACTCAGGCAAAGTTACCTAGTAAACCAAAGAACAGCAACGAATGGCCTCTCACTTTTGCTGCAGCAGAATGACATCACTTCATGCATTTTGCAGGACATTCAGAATCAAAGGGCTAGTGTCAAGCACCTCCCTCGGACACGCAGCTGGATTCGTGTCCAAATTCGCCATAAAAGTTTAATTACCTTAAGTTTATGTGTGATGGAAATGCTGTGAAATACTCTTGCTTTGAGTGACATTTGCTGGCTTGTCTATTAAAATTAATGGGGTGTGAAAAACCTTTAAAATAAGCCCCCTAAGGAACAGGTCTAAAGGCAGTTATTGTGATTTTATCATATGCACTGAAAAATTACATTACAGCACCAGAGGCACATCTGCAACTCATCCTGTATAGTAAAAAACAATAAATTATGAGGCAAGCAACATTTTAGCCTCCTTCAAAAAAATTAAGGAAAACGATGCTATTAATAAGAGGCTGGGGTCTTGAGGTGGGTACCTGGTACAGATCCTGGGTGAATGTGGGGCTGTTATCATTCACATCCTCCACCAGCACTGTTATGTTGGCCTCGCTCTGGTGCCTCGAATCTGAGGAGCGGACAGTCAGCGTGTACCAGGTCCGCTCCTCAAAGTCCAGCGGGCCTGTCAGGGACACCCCTCCCCCATAGCGGTGAATCCCAAACCTCCCTTGGGAGTGGATGTCCAGCTGCAGCGTGTAGGATAGGGGTGGGCCTGAATCCACATCGTTTCCGGTCACCTGCGTGATCTCCGTGCCGATCATGGTGTCTGCGCACAGAGGTCGGTGGGAAAAGTGAAACACAGAAATCCTGACGAGTGCAGCTGGCAAAAGCAGATTTTACATTGTTCCCAGAAGCTATTATATTTAAATTATATTCAATTTATTGCTTCTCTTGGCCAGAGCATGGCCAAGTATGGTCAGTGGTACTCAAAAATGTGGTACTCGCGGGTATCAGAATCAGGGTAATCACTAGCTGAAATCTTTATATTACCTATTCAGAGAAGGTTCTTTGAGAAGCGTGACTTTTTAAAATATTAAGCATTCATACGAATGGGCAAAATGTGCCACCTGAGTCTCCTTAGAGAATAAAATGATTGCTTTTCATTTCTTTATGTTGTAGGTTACTTTGCTTCATTGGCTTGAAAGATATGAGCACTCACACAGACGAGGCTACTACAGGTCAAGGTCACAAAGGTCACGTCACTCACTCTCAGGCACGCGGACCTCGCGAGGCAGGGGGATGGTAGGGCTGTTGTCGTTGACGTCCATGACGATGATGGTCAGGGTGGCAGTACCTGCCAGCCTGGGAGTGCCCCGGTCTGTCGCCGTGACGACAAGCCTGACAGCACAGCAGTGAAGCGTTAGACCGTGTCCTCACGCAACCTGTCGCAGTTGCTCCGTGTTCACCCCTTGCTCTGCTTTTATAAAGCATTTCATGGGGATTGTTTTAATACCCATTAAGGTGTAGGAACACATTTGTAAAATCAAACTTGGACACCGCCATGGGTCTTGGTTGGAAATAAAAGAGATCCGAGGCCTGGATCTGAAGGAAAACACATGTCTGTTGTAGGATACCTGGCAGGAGTTCCCAAACTTTGATAGTTCAGAGACCCCCCTCCCCACTGATATGCACCATCTGTCAAATGCCCCCCCCCCACTGTAAGATCACACTATCTTCCAGAACATCTTACACATTAATAATCTACTGGACGTTATTGCCCAAATGTTATGTGAGATGATTTGTTTATTTTCCTCTTTCCTGAGGCAAGAGAAGGCTACGCAAACAATTTGTCTGAACTGCCGGCGACGCTCTTTCGAGAAACATAACGAGGTATCCGCAGGCTGCAGGGAGGCGGACACCACCTGAGATGAAAGCTAGAGAAGTTGGAAGGAGGTGACGGTTTAGGAGATGTTTTTGTTTGGGAGTTCACTCATGGGATGGGGATGGCACAACTTGCTGGATGTCATTCTGAACAGGGGGGGCACGGGGGGGGAGCATAGAGTCATGTCCAATTGTGGGTTTTCTTCTTAAAAACTTATATAGGATACATATATATATATATATATATATATATATATATATATATATATATATATAATATGTGTGTATATATATATATATACATACATACACACACACACACAGTGGTACCTCAGTACTCAAACTCATTAGAACTCGGATTTCTGGAAGTCGAACCAACCAGTTCGAAAAAAAATGACCTAGAACTCGATCTGAATCTCAGAAGTTGAACCGTGAACGCCGACCTAAGATAACTTGTATGCGCAGGGAAATGAGTCAGGCGGCACGTCTCTCAGCGGAAACAAAGAGTAACGTTTCAGTCTCAGCCTCGCATTCGCTGTGATAGCATGTTTACACTAGCTGAATACATATATTTAGACAGTAAAAATACATTTAGACAATGATAGACAGTAAGAATAATTATTATTATGTAATAAAATGCATTTAATAAGATTTTAATATCATTAATAATAAACCATTAATACATTTAATTATAATGATATTGTTGTGCCGAGCGGGGAAGGAATGGAGACAAAGGCGCAGACGTCAGGGTATCGGAGAATACGGGGTTTAATTACAGGTAAGGCATGCAAAACGCAGATGGACAATACAATGACCGGACTGGGGAAACAAACTGAAACGCGGACTAATACAGAGGACTAATGACAACAACCAGAAACAGCTGAACACACGGGGATTCCACACGGGGTTAACGAGGGGGCGTGGCACGCGGAAGGAGCGGACGATTGGGACAGGACACATTTGGTTTTTTTTTTTACTTTATACATTGTTTGGATACATTTATTTTCTTACTTTACAAATTATTGTTTTGATAAATGTGCTTAGATGTGTTTAGTACAGTATATGCTCTTCTTGTTTTATACTGTTCATTTTGTGTTTAAAGGCTAAAAAAAAAAAAACATATTTAGGTGTAATTTTTTGGGTCCGGGAACCAATTAATTGGTTTTCCATTATTTCTTATGGGGAAAATTCGATCAGAACTCGAACTTTTTAGGATTCGAACCCGAGTTTTGAGGTACCACTGTATATATTTATAGGATATAACCCTTTGTTTTGCTCTGCTGCTAATAATGTTTTGTCAGTTTGAATTAATTTGTATTTTTTCATTATTGTTCATCACTGTATTCTTATCGATGCTCTAAAAGTTACCCATGCCTCTTGGCCCATTAGCTGGGTGTGACCAGAGCAAAGATCTGATAATAAATGAGAAGACATGAGCCCTCACTTTGCTTGTGACCAGATCTCTCTGTCCATGATGGCAACAGTGGTGATGCTGCCTGTTAGTGGGTTGATCCTAAAGAGGCTGCTCATGGAGGAGGACCTGATGGAGTAGGTCACCTGACCATTTTGACCCTGATCGAGGTCATCAGCCACAACCTACGTAGAAGGCAGAGAAAGCAAACATATTTATAAAAATATAAAAAGAAATATTTACGAAATACTGACCAGGACGTTATTTCCCTATGTAATTCGTTCACCAGATATGTCTTAATGCCACAGACTAAGCTAAATCTAGTTTTCAACAAGAAAGTAATGATACTTACAGTATGGATTTAGCGGTAAGACTGGTGTATGCTTCTACTAAAGCCTAATGCTAATATGCATGTAATATCGGTGATACCTGAATGATGGGGAAGTCATATCCCTGAGCCTCCCGAATATATGCAATGTAATTCTGCAGCTGGAAGCGAGGCAGGTTGTCATTAACATCCTGCAGGATCAGGTTAACGGCCATGAAGGTGCTTGATGATGCAGTTTCAGCCTTCACCACTAGGCGGAGCCTGGGGCTCTCCTCAAAGTCCAAGCCGGCAGAGCTCTGAACCAATATCTCACCTAAAGTAGGAATGGGAAAACAGCAAAAAGGAGCGAGGAGGACTCTTAATTGTTCACTTAATTAGTATTTATTGTTCCACTAAATTGGTGTTCATGTTTCTAGCATATGGAATTAGCATGAAGCTCATTCTGCTCTTAACCCATTGAGCCGTACCTGTGGTGGAACTGATACGAAATGACTTGTGCCGGTTGCCGCTGAAGAGGCTGTAGCTGATGCCCCTGCGGGAGCCGTCAGGATGCTGGGCTTGGATCTGCACTACAGCTGTGCCTGGGGGAAGTACAGACAGATGATTCCCAAACTTGAAAATTGATCTGCTCTATATGCTGCTGTTGATAATGAGTTCAACTATGAAACGGCTTTAGGACACCAATGATTTTAACGTTATATTTTACTGGTTATTCCTTAATCACCTTCAAGATAAACTACAGTTTAGAGCAGTGTTTTCCAACCTGCTCCTCAGGGATTCACATTTGGCCCACATTTTTGGTCCCTCCCAGCTCCCTCCCAGACAGTCCACATTTTTGCTATATGTCCACATTTTTCCCTCACCTACCGGGAGCTGGGAGGGAGCAAAAACATGGACTGTCTGTGGGTCCCTGAGGGCTGGATTGGGAAACACTGGTTTAGACAGTGGCCAATGAAGCTTAATCCCCAGCAAAGTGAGATTTCGACTGACCTTTGGCTGCGTTCTCCTGGATGCTGACATCTCGTGTGTTGCGAGAGAAGCGAATTCCCTGGTATTCCTGCTCCTTGATGTAGATGATCACCACACCCAGGGATGACTGTGCTGGGTTGCCTTGGTCCATAGCCTCCACGATCAGGGTGCGCTGTCGCTGGGTCAGAGACTGCAGGCTTTCTGTCACCTGGATAGCCCCCGTCAGGGAGTTGATAGTGAAGCCTTGTGCCAGGCTGGCGAATCGGTAGAACACAGATCCATTAGCACCAAAGTCCCTGTCCTCGGCCCTCATGGTGGCCACCACTCGGTGACTGGGGATGCCAAAGCTGGAGATATTGATGATGAGCGGATCCTGGACAAAGAAGGGAGCGTTGTCGTTGATGTCCAGGATGCTGACGAATACCTCGGCCGTCGCGTTGCGGGGGTCAGCTGGGGACGAGTCTACTGCAAAGACGTGGAAGCTGTAGGCGGCTAGTCTCTCACGATCCAGCGGCACCGCCGTGGTGATCCTTCCCGTGTCCTGGTCTATGTGAAACGTGCCGCGTGATTCCTTGCTCAGGAAGTACAGGACTTTGCTGTTGTCGCCCTGGTCCTTGTCAATGGCGGTCACTTTCACCAAGAAGGAGCCCACAGGTGTGTCCTCGGGGACATCGACGGTGTAGCTGCTCTGCTCAAACTCTGGACTGTTGTCATTGATGTCCAGGACAGACACCTCCACGGTAGCAGTGCCTCGCAGAGACGGAGTCCCATGATCCTGGGCAACCACAGTCAGCACATAGTTGGCTTTTCCCTCCTGGTCCAGAGGCCTGGATGTGGAGAGCACTCCTGAGGCGCTGTCCAGATGGAAATCTCCTGCTGGGTCTCCAGCTGTGGGGGGGGGGGGGGAAACAGGGGGCAGAAACACACACACAAACAATGTGGGGAACTTCAGTATAAGGGCAAAAATGTGAGAGTAAGATTCTTTTGAAAGCAATGGCTGAAATACTTTAACCATGATCAGATCTTTTCTACACCATTTGATTTTCTAAACAGCAAAAACGTTCAAATACCCAAGATATCAGTTTACTACATAGCGGATTCCAAGAGGCAATACTATTCATAATAAGAACCACTCGTCTCTGTTGAATAACTAAAGATTACATTCGAGAGCAAGCTGTACAAGTTTATGTGTAACTGCATAATGTGGACACAGTTAATGTGCTGTAGCTGCGGCTTCAGTGCCTAGCGGCCCCCACCTGTGATCCTGTACTCCACCTCTCCACTGGCCCCCGTGTCCTGATCTGTGGCCCTCAAGGTAAAGAGCTCCACAGGTTCCATGTTCTCAGGCACTTCCAGGCTATAGAGAGATGCAGTGAAGGTAGGTCTGTTGTCGTTGTCATCCAGGACTGTAATCGTCACAGTTGCCTTGGCAATGTTGGGTGGCATTCCACCATCCTTTGCATACACTGCAAGAAATGATGCAGATTTTTAGAGTGAATGGCATCATCATATTGAAAAAGGACGGACTTGAAACTCCTTTTCACAATACTGACTACACACTCATGGCATGAGGTGTCCAGACCAACCCCATGGAGAATTACCTGTCACTGTGTAGTGTTCTTGCACCTCCCTGTCCAAAGCCCTAGTGGCAGCTATGACGCCGGTTTTCGGGTCGATGGTGAAACACTCCTCAACAATGCCCCCATAGGTGAGACGGCTGTTGGACCCTGAAAAAGGTTAAGGATCATTTTATTGTGCTGACCAACCACTATCAACCCCCGTTATAGGTCACTCATTACTCTCAGGTTAGGAGAAAACATAAGCCAGAGGGGTCAGCATGACAACAGCAATCGTAGAGTTATTTTTGTCACATGTAAAAGAAGGCTTTCGTGCATTTGCTGTATTTATTTTGAATGAATTCTGCTTCTTAAGCAGTGGTGTCCTGTGCTTGCCGACGATGTCTGGCTGCCAGATCGCGTGCTAAGAGAGAATAGTCTGGCACCACCACCTGTTTACCTCATTAATTGGTCCTGGAGAGAAAGTTTATAATCGCTCTGTTTTATGTGAGTCTGATTCAATCCAGGAGAATGCAAACTGCCAGTACACCCCCACCCCTCCGCCCGAAACCCCCAACAACCTCCTTGCACGCTGTGTACCCCCCCGCATTGACACCAGTTAAAAACACATGCTGGTGATGTGGTTGTGGAAAGGCTATTATAGTGAGGATTAATGAAAGGTGGCATGATGGGTTGAGAGGACAGTACTGTGGCCTGACACTTCTAGAGACTCGGGTTTGATTCCCAGCCCTGGCTCACTGTGGTGTTTGTTCACCTGTTATTTGGTCAGGTCTCTACTCAACCCAAAAACACAATGTCTCTGAATGCCCAATGTGTGTCTATGAGCGTGTGCTCTGTGATGGACTGGCATCCCGTCCATGGTCTCCTTTGTCTCACCTCCTGTGTTTGTTGGGAAAGGCTCCAGGTTCCAGGACAATGGATGGTAAGAGGTGTATTGAATATATTTGCTGGTATAGTGAGTGAGGAGAGTGAGAGAGGTCAGTTAGTGATGTGACCCACCTTGATCTCGGTCAGAGGCGGATACCGTCAGCACAGTGGTCCCTGGGTTCTGGTTTTCCAGGATCTGCGCCTGGTACTCATTCTTCTCGAAGAGGGGTGCCTCGTCGTTGACGTCGATCACCTGGACGGACAGGACCTGAGTGGCGGTGTGCCGGGGCGCCCCATGATCCTCGGCAACGATGGTGAGGTTGTATGTGTCTTGTTCCTCACGGTCCAGTGGCTTCAGGATGGACAGGGAACCTGGGAGAAGCAGCGTCAGTGAAAGATTCGCCGGCGCGGGACATGTCTGAATGCTCCCGCCGAAAACAGGTAACGGCCATGTTTCCATGGGTACAACAGAGGCAGGCAGCGCCCTTAAAGAGGGAGTTCCCAGAATGGCACAGTCTGACATTAATGCAGAAGGAAGAAACAGACCTTTAAAAAAGGCACTGCTGCTGGCTTCAGCTATTTCGAATAGCAAGAGGCTAAACATTTTTGGATAAAAGCATGTTTGTTAACTATTATAGTAACATATTGCTTTTGGTTTCATTAGGAGCAGAGACCAGCTGACAAGGTGCCTCTCCACATGGTGTTAACACGGAAAGCGTATGCCCGCCTGCCTGACAGTTACTGTAGGAGCTGGGAATCGGGACAAGCTGGTCACAGCTTCCAAGTGTTTCCAAACTAGCAGGGTTGCGGTCAGGAGTACGAGACAGTAAACACGCTCCAATCACGCAAGGCTGGATCTGCCGTGCCCTGCTGGAATTAGGCACCGTTCCCCACCTCCCGCTCTGCCCGTTAATGACCAGGCAGAGACACGCTCACACGGGCTCCACGGCCGCCCAATTTCATGCTTTTAATTTGGGTGCCGCTGTAAAGCGTGGAGCACACTGTGCGTGCGTGTGGTGTGGAGGTGGGCACCAGGAGCTGGGTGGAGTCTGCTGTGGTTCTTGTTTTGGAAGTTTTTTTCTTTATTATTTTTTTTGCCTCTCACTAACCCCTAAGATAAATTGCTGCTCCAGCTTCAGTCTGGTTGGAATTACAGCCTGGAATTCTATGACCAGGAAAGCCTGACTCTAATCGAAATCAGTGGCAGCACAGTGTTTCTCCAGTGCGCGTTTCTCTCCTGCCTTTGGCCACCATATTGCTTTCTGCATGAATCACACACAAACGCAGCAGACGCCTCCCTTGACGTCTCCATGTTAGCCATTGCAAGCATGGTCTTCAAAAGGTTTGCTCCTTGAAAGCAGAGGGTTACTGGGCATATCCTGTCCTAACTGGTTTTTCAGTTACTAGAGGCTTCTGGGGACATCCTTCTAATGCTAACATCCTATAAATAAACCTCGGACATGAATTTAAATTAAAACAGAGGTATACTTTTTCAAGGGATTTAAACAGATTTTGTCAAATCAATAGACATTCAGCTAGAGGTTATGCAAGATCTTGACGTTTCTTATAATCTAAGAAGGAAGGTATTCACACTGTTTTGGTGCCATTAAACTACTTCTATGAGGATCATTGTTTTGGATGGCAATTGTTAGGCAATTACTCGAATCATTAAAAAAAATCAATAAAATAGAAGGAAAAGCGGATGGACTCACCAGTGTTGGAGTTCAGGGTGAATTTTCCCCCAGAATTCCCCGTGAGGATGTGGTAGGACACTCTGCCATTTTCCCCGTTGTCCGGATCACGGGCTATGACGTAAAGCACCACAAACCCCACCGGCTGGTCCTCCATCACGCTGACAGCAGTGGGTGAAGTGAAGGCTGGCTCATTATCATTCACGTCAGTCACAAAAACACGAGCGGTGACAGTACCCCAGCGCTGCTGGCTGGTGTTGAGGGCCGAGTCCATGGCCTGCACCACTAGGTAGAGGGAGGAGGTAGCCTCGTGGTCCAACCCTCGCTCCAGGGATAGCACCCCAGTGAGCGGGTCAAGAGTCAGCAGGTCAGTACTGTCAGGCCAACGCTGGAGGATGGAGTAACGCAATTCACTGTTGGGGCCACTCCCATCTCCATCTACTGCCTGGAAGGTATAGACTGAGGAGCCAGGCTCCATGTTCTCTGGGATGACGATGGTGACGAGGTCCTCAGGGAATCGCGGAGTGTGGTCGTTGCTGTCCTGCACCTCAATGTCCAGGTGGACCATGTGGCTGCTAGGATAAGCTTGTGAGAAGTTGTCTACCTCCACCTGGAGTGTATAGCGGGAACCCCGCTCATAGTCCAGTTCCCGGGCCAGGTACACGTCACCAGTCAGGCGGTCCACCACAAACGTCCCATCCCGATCGGTGCCGCTCACCACAGTGTAGGTCACCTGCCCTGATTCGGGAACATTCTGCTGATCAGATGACCGGAGAGAGCCAACCACGGAGCCTGGTTTCAGGCCCTCCATGAAGTTAAGGCTCATGGACAGAGAATTGGGTTTTGCGGTGTTTCTGCTAGAGCTGAGGACCTGCAAAGACATGTGTGGTACGGCAGGGATTGAGATCAAAACTTTTAGGGTCAATGATGCCTTCATGGTTAAAGGGTCAAGATTGGGGATAAGATTCATGTGTGCTGAGTTGTTATTCAGTTATAATAATGCGAGCTGGACGGTGCATATTCCAGCTGAAAAACACTGAATGTTTAATAAGCAAATGAAGGCTGCAAAACGAAAGCAGATTGCAACCCAATTTTTTTTGTCTAATTCGTAGGGAACAGAACAAACAAGAAGGAAAAAAACATCTCTCTGCAGTTTTACAGGCTTGAACAGCATGCCTCTTAGTGTAAATCAGATTTAATCAGGTAGGTTTGTTAGAGCCAGGAAAAATAATTAGGGATGTAAGTAAACGCAATCAGAAAAGGAAACTGTTAGAATGGTGAGGTTTAACCACAGGGCCCCATTCTTAAAAAACACAGAAGTCGACACTGTGACCACCGTCCAATCAGGGGCACAACAAACAAGGAAATGATTTTGAACTCAGTATGGAAACATTGCACCACGACGCTTTAATGTGCTCGCGATCGGGATCAGAGAATGCAAAGCTGCTCGCGAAGCTGTAACGGATCAACGCCGCCAGTGCAGCCTTTACGGGCTGCATGAACACCCAGCCCCTCCCCAAAGATGACCTCACTAACTCCTGATTAATCACATGGTCCACGTTATCGAAATGCAGATTACGAACTTGACCTACAGCGTTCAGAAAATTAGCCGCAGTGGCCAGAAAAGTGATAATGCGATGCAGAGAATAATCAGGCCCGAACTTGTCCCAGAGAAAAAGCAGAGCGTTGTTTATTCCCAGAAACATGGATTTATTGGGTCTCTCTATTAAATTGTTTTAGGTCACTTTTAGATGAAGGAATGAATGGATGGTTTTATAGAGTCAGTTAAAGGATCACCCTTGAATTAATTTACAAACGATAAAATTTTATTAATAATATTATTAATCCAGCTATGGAAGGGTTTGGGAGGGGGAATGCGATGCATTTTTAATGGCTTTCGGGTTTTCCAGGCATTGCGTGTAAAGATTTACAGCACGCTGCCCCCCCCCCCCCGAGTCTGGCGTTACTCAGCGGCATGCTACATGCTAATTTGATTAACTTCAATGGCACGTTTAATGCTCGAAGGCCCGTCGGCCCCTCGCTCAAAAGGGCTACCGTGCGAAAAGTGCTGAAGTCACGGGCTGCGGGCGGGATCAGAGCGGCCCAAAGCTGGCACTCATCGCGGCCCAGCTGCCAGCATTTGCTTTTTCCTGTCAAGACAGGAGGCAGGTGAGGGACTTTCTGGACGCTGCTGCTTTTGATCACATAAGGTCTAAAGGGTGATGACTGACCGCACTGCAAAAACACCTATAATGTCAGTGAGGTGCTTTTTAAAATACTTCTGCTCAAACACATGTTAAGATTAGATGTGATTTCAGAATTTGCACACCGAGCACACATGCTCCTACCACAGTGAGTTAGACCTGCCCTGCTCAGATTCAGAAGAAGCAGCTGCATGGATTTAACACGGCCGTCCCAACCATCGAAATGGATTTTTATGTATTTGAAGTCCGTGGACAGGATTCATTGTGGGACTAAAATTGAGAAGAGTAAAATTGCAGGGCAGAGACTTATGAAAATACAGTGAAGGTGAATGAGGTAGAGGGGGAACAACATGGGGAGGTGGAGTGACCCCCATTCGTCTGGGAGGCTCACCTGGATAAGCAATGCGGTGGAAGCACTGCGGGGGGCCAGGCCCCGGTCCGAGGCCGTCACCGTGAAGCTGTACTCAGCACAGTCAGACTGGCTCAGGGGGGAGGCCGAGCGCAGCTCGCCGGTGGTGGGGTTGAGGGTGAAACGTTCTGCCCTGGGACCTGAGGGGCCGGAGGGTAAACGGGGGTCATGGAGAACACATAAAAACTGACTGTCTGTAAAAATACACTCCCAAAGGGTTCACACACTAAGATGCAGCCATGGCAAGAGCAGCTTATGATGTGTTTACGAGCTGTTTACTACATCACATATAAGCACAGAGGCACACACACACACACACACACACACAGGTACACACATACATGCAGATACACACACACACACACACATAAATGCAGACAAACACACACACACACGCAGGTAGACACAAACATGCAGACACACACACAGGTACACACATACATGAAGATACACACACAGGTACACACAAACATGCAGACACACACACACACACACAGGTACACACATACATGCAGATACACACACACAGTAACACACAGGTACACACATACATGCAGATACACACACACACACACACACAAACAGGCAGGTACACACATACATGCAGATACACACACACAGGTACACACATACATGCAAATACACACACAAACACACAGGTACATACATACATGCAGACACACACACACATACATGCATGCAGATACACGCTCACAGGTACACACATACATGCAGGCACACACACACACATACATGCAGACAAACACACACACACACACTAACACACACATACATGCAGATACACACACACACACACAAACAGGCAGGTACACACATACATGCAGATACACACACACAGGTACACACATACATGCAAATACACACACACACACACACAGGTACATACATACATGCAGACACACACACATACATGCATGCAGATACACGCACACAGGTACACACATACATGCAGATACACACACACACACATACATGCAGATACGCACACACACACATACATGCAGATACACACACTAACACACAGGTACACACATACATGCAGACACAGACACATACATGCATGCAGATACACACACACAGGTACACACAAACATGCAGATACACACACACACACAGGTACACACATACATGCAGACACACACACACATACATGCAGATACACACACACACACACTGTCAGGGTCAGCACCTCTTTGTCCCAGTCTTTCCTGTCTTCCCCTGTTGTCAGTCTGTAGTGTTTCTCCTGCTCCCCGTCAGCCACTTGGCTCAACGAGCTGAGCATGCAGCTACCTGTTAACCCCTCTGCTGTATGATGTATGTGATGTATGTGATGTATGTGATGTATGTTCTGCCTGCCTGCGCCTTGTTGTCCTGACCCATTTGTAATTAGTCTTTGTTTGTCCCCTTTTGCTTTTGAGCCCTCGTGGGGTCCTGTCCTGTGAGCCGTAAGTGGGTCATCCACCTCCTTCCCAGCCTGCACCATGCCACGCCGTCGCCCCAAATCCGCCGTGATCCATGACACACACACACACACAGACGTGCATAGCCCCCCCCCCCCACCTGACAGGGAGTAGATGATGGTGCCGTTCTCGCCCTCGTCGGAGTCTGTTGCCTGCACTGTGCCCAGCAGGGACCCGGGGGGCTGCACCTCCATCACCTGTGGAGAAGGTGGAGTTCAGTGCCAAATGGTGTTTGGATATAACGGAGTGTGAAAAATACTATATTAAAGACATGATATGAAGACAGGACCGATATAGAGCCTTTCATGTAGTTCTAGATTTAAGATTCTTCTCTGCTTTACATCATAGTGTTTTCATGTATTTGCAAACAGGGTCCAAGTGAATAATCATTTATGGCCTGTCCTGCACCCGGCCATGTGTGAATTCAGAGCTGAGTCACATGATCCCCTGTTGCCGTGAGATGGCTGGCAGGCTTACCTGCATGAGGAGGCCTATCCCGGGCTGGGCGTGGGAGAAGCTGGGGGCGTTGTCGTTCTCGTCCAGCACGCTGATGTGGACAGTGCCCGTGGTGCTTCGGGCTGGCATGCCCCCGTCCTGCACCAGTACCATCAACTGGTGACTCGACTGCTGCTCGCGGTCCAGTGTCACCCTGGTGCTGATTTCCCCTGGGGGACGAGAGAGACGCAGAGGTTCTGTGGAGGGTCCGCTTACAGCAGCGAGGTGCACCTTACAGACTCCAGGCTGCTAGCAGGTAAGAGGCGGGGCTTATACACAATGACTGACTGACTGTAACTGTAATATGGAATTTATGAAATAGCATAAAAACACAAAAAATGAATTAAAGTGGTTTAATAGTTAACTATAGCTGGCTAGTTTGACATAGGAAGGGATGCTGCTGTTAAACCCATAACCTGCACTGGTGCAGGGAACTATTACGAAGTGCATAAAAAAGTATAAATCTTCTAGATGATAGTGTTGCCTGTGCTGTGCAATAATAATTCCTTGCACGCCTGGGGAGGAGACGGCCAAACCGTCTCTTATTATTCCTAATACTGGATTCTCTGACAGTGGCGTTTATGTTTTTCTCTCCCTGTGCCTTTCTGTGCTCCTGGGTTATTTTGCTATGCATGTTATTCAACTGCCACACCGATATTACGCATTACAAAGGCCGTCACTCAGAGCCGACAGGGCTGGGGGGATGGTGTGACCTGAGAATATAGTGTGGGATCTTGGCACACGATCCACATGGCATTCAGGGTTCTAGACAGAACCCATTCAGAGAGCAGGTGAACTGGGCTATTCTGCTCTACGCCAGAAGCTTCTGGAGGCATCTGACCATGACTGGCTAAATTTTACTCAGTTTAACTGAGGAACAGGTTTCAGGCAGGGTGCTGCTGGGGATGAGGGTCTCACCAGTCTGCGAGTTAATCTGGAAGTTGCGCTCCGCGTGCAGGATGCGGTAAGTGAGCCGGCCATTGAGGCCCGCATCCCGGTCGGTGGCCAGAACCCGGCCGAAGCCAGTGCCAGGGGAAAGGTTCTCCCGCACGGCGAGGAAGGACATGTCGTGGGCCAGCCGGGGTGCGTTGTCGTTCTCGTCCATCACGGACACCCGCACAGTGGCGCTGCCCGTCTTCTTGAGCTGCCCATTGCCCGAGGTCGCCAGAACCGTTAGGAAGTACAGATCCTTGGTCTCACGGTCCAGGGCACTCTTCACGAAGAGCCAGCCGCTGTCGGGGGCGATGCCGAATCCTGCCGCGTCGCCGTCGGGCCGGAGATGGTACGCTAGGGGTGCGGCCGGCCCGGCGGCCTCCCGGCTGAGAGCCCGTACCTGCAGGAAGTGCGTGTTGAGGGCCGTACCCTCTTTCAGCTCCACGCGGTAGGTGAGTGCATCAAACACGGGGCCCTGGTGGTTCTCAGCCTGGACGTGCACGACCAATGTGAAGATGGCACTTAGCTGGGGTGCCCCTTCGTCCCGTGCCGTCACCAGCAGGTCGTAACGTGGCACACTTTCGTATGACAATGGCCCCACCAGGCGAATCTCCCCTCTCTGGCGGCCCATGCTGAAGGTGCGCAAGGCGCTGCTGGGGGCCAGGTCGAAGGTGAGCTTCCCGTTGGGGCCCGAGTCAGGATCGTGGGCCCGCACACGGTACACCACGGAGCCCAAGGGCGTGGCTTCGGGCAGCAGCAACGATTCGGAGGACGAGGGCTGGAAGCTGGGTGCGTTGTCATTGACGTCAGCCACGGTGATGAGTACACGTGTTTGGCCAAAGGCCGGCGGGGATCCGCTGCTCGCCTGCACCTCCAGTTCCAGCGATGGCCGCGCCTCGTGGTCCAGGGGCTTGTTGGTCCGCAGGACGCCCGTCTCCCAGTCCACCACGAAGTAGCCTTCTGGGTCTCCCGAGCAGATGGAGTAGGTCATGCCCTGGGAGGCTCCTAGGAGAGCCGGAAAACACTTAGCATAGCATTTAAACAAAAAGGCAACACACTTTTTAAATGTCCAAAATAAACGATCAGGAATAATAAACGATCCTGAGCTCCGGTAAACACACCGACGGAGCCGCCGGCTCGCACGCCGCCCACTTCGGTCCCACGCGGCGCATCCTCAGGTACGGTGAAGCGATACTGCGCCCGCTCAAACATGGGAGGCGCCACTGAGCCGGCCACCACGCTGATGTTGACGCGGGCACTCTCGGGCACGGCCAACCCGCCGCCATCCTGAGCGGCGATCACCATGGAGATGATGGAGTTGGCCTTGCCGTGAAGGGAGCGAGACAGCGAGATCACACCTGGCAGTAGGTGAGAGACGTGGCGTTACGCTTCTCAAATTAGACCCAAGGTAATTCCAGAATGTATGAAGTAATATATATGATCCTAAAGGAGATGATCAGAGCAGGAGCTTCGCAGGTAGCACTGCAGGCTCACACCTCAAGGTTAGCATCCGACTTCCCTGTGTCTCCCCAGGGTGTGTGACCAGCCTTATGCCTTGTGGTTCCTGGGACAGGCTCCAGGCTCACAATAAATCTGTACTAAATTAACAGTTAAGGAGCATAGATCGCTGTATATACAGTACCTGCCAAAGGTTTGGACACGTCAAGCTGCCTACAAAGGAGAGTGATAATGTTGCATCACATGACCTGGACACCTGACCTCAATACAAAATAATCAGTTTTGCAGGAGTTTGACCAGAAAAGCAGCCAATGAGTGCTCAGCATATGTGGGAGCTCCTTCTGGACAGCTGGAGAAGCTTCCCAGGAGGCCACCTCATGAAAGTGGCATAGAGGAGACAACAGGGTCAGCCAGTCTCTGGGGCAATTGGGGTTAAGGGACCAATCAGTGCATAATTCCATGTATGCTATTTTATGGTTTTCATGTCTATATAATTATTCTAAAATCTAAAGAATAGCATAAATAAACCTTTTTATATGTAGGCATGTCCAGACTTTTGACTGGTACTGTATTTTATACCTAAACTATAAATTAATCAGGCTACATAAACTAGCAACAGTGTATTTGTTACTTATTTCCAGTAATTGCTAGTTCACTTCCCAACAAACAGGCAATTTAGGTTCACCAGTTAATCACAGCAGAAGATATCAAGAAGCCACAAGACAGTACATGAATAAACATCTCAACTCACCAGTGAACTACAAAGTTAAAATTGTTAATGAGCAAATTTAAGCAAAAGGCAAAGAGATACACTGAACAGTCTATGCAGGCAGGCACACAAACCTGTGTCTTTGTTTAGGGTGAAGTAGGCGGAGCCTCTTCCTGGGACAATGTGGTAGGTCACCTTGCCATTGTCCCCCGCGTCAGGGTCATGAGCCATCACACGGATGACGGAGGTGCCAGGGACACTCTGTGAGCTGAGGCTGACTGCGTACTGCAGAGGGTAGAAGTACGGCCTGTTGTCGTTGATGTCCACTAGGGACACCTTCACGTAGGCCATGGAGTTTAGGCCACCCTGTGTAGAGACACCAGCCAGCCAAATTATAAGTCAACAGCAGTCCTGTAGCCATTTGTACTGTTTACTAAATAATACTTAGAAGTCTGGTAAATGAAATCCCTACTGATGTAACTTAATCAGATGACCTTTGAATCAGTAGTGAATGATGGTGAAATAGTGGGTAGAGACTACAATTTGTTTTGAGGGAGACAAACAAGCAAACAAAAGAACAAAACACAGAGGAGTTACGCAAAATGCAAAAGAGGAACTCTGATTCTTTGGGGCAGGTTGTAAAAATACTTTTCTGGGGGGACAGGCTTGGCTGAAGGACCAAGACTAAGGCTTTTAAATATTACAGTCCAGCCTTGCTTCCACTGATTGCTTTACCATGATTGTTGCAATTTCCTGCCATATATATATTTTTTTGCTTTGCTTTAGAGTATAACTGGCTCGCTGCATGCGCCACACTATGGTATTTTGAAGTCACGCCAAGGAGTCCCGTTTCGCTACCCTTATTCTATCCATTTGACTGTGTCCTAGCTCTGAAATAGTGTTACGCATCCATGTCTGCCGGGAATTCTGGGATTGCGGTGTGGCACAGCGCCCTCGACTCACCCCATCCACTGCGGTGACAGTGAAGTCATAGCTGGAAGGGCCCTGGTCCCGGTCGAGAGCCACGACGGTACAGATCTGGCCCGTCTCCTTGCCGACAGTGAACTGGACGGGAGCTGAGCTCCCGATGCCGGAGCCGATGGAATAGGTCACTGTCCCGAACGAGCCGCTGTCAGCATCCGTAGCTGTAACCTGGGAAAAAGCACAGGGAGGCTAATGGGTCTCTGCTGCCGCTGTCAGCTAACAGCCAAACAACCTCACGCTTCCTCACACGCAACCACTAGAAAATCATGTGTTTTCTCTGAAGGGACTGGAGTCTTGCTGAAACATCTGTATTACAGAAGATAAATGAGACCGTCAAAAGCACATTTGAGGCGAACCTGGCAGAGGAGACCAGGAAAAGTCCAAAAGAAACCCAAGCAACAAACTATTTCGTGATTTCTTACAGCCAAAGGCAGATGGAAGAACAGGAACGACATGAGGAACAACAAGCAGACACTACGTTTGGCTAATGCTGTGTTAGACTCCAAGGTCATATTTGGCCACACTCATAAACACCTGACCCGACGTGTGTGTTTGGGGAGTGTGTGCCAGAGATAAAGCAAAGAGGTGAACCAGTTCCAGTGGAGAGGTACCTGGCAACGTGTAGTTCTGGAAAAGGTGTGACTTAGCTTGGCGAAGAAGATACAACCCAAAACACATCACAATATTTACTATCACATACCATTAATTTTCATATGTTACATTTGATTTACTCATTTGGCAATAAATAAAAATAATGATCGATACTTTATTGATTCCCGTGGGGAAATTGTCTTTACGCCTCCCTCAACTATTATCAAATATTGGGATGCATAGCGGAAAACATAAGAAAATATCTCATATATTTCAAAATAATCCTATAAAACATCTAAATACTATAGGTAATTGCTACATGTTATAATTAGTAAGTAAAAATTAATGTAGTGCCTCAGATGATTTCAATAAGTATCACATTATCACCCACATTGCTCTGCTCTTGGACACACTGCAGTGTGAGAACGTGTATAGACCCCCAGTATGGGTTTGGACTAGATATGCAGACCTTTTGATGGATTGAGTATCAGCCATACATGACTGATCCACATCCGATATTTGCTTATTTAGATTCTGGCAGTCTCTAAAAACACAGCTCCCATTTTATGTTAAATGTATTTGCACAGTCAGTCGCACGACAGCTCTTTCCCGTTTTAGACGTGCTTTTTGCGACATTCAAGCTTAACGCTATCGCTGCCACTCAGTTTTTTGGTACTCAGTGGGTGTGAGCGCAGTGACTTCTGCCTGCTGTGACGTCATATGCATACCCTTTGCAACAAAAGAAGTGTAAAAACAGCAGATAAGGGGGTGACGGTCTGGAAGTAATTTATGCTTTTAACAACAATTTGTATCACAGCGATTTGCAATCTTTGTGAAAACAAAGTTTTGAGAGGTGGGAGTAGCATTTAGTGGAAAATCCCACTAAACAAAGCGCACATCATTGTGTGAGACAACGCGAGTAATATGAAGAAATCAGTGGATGATTTGGGCTGTTTTGCGCACTCGCTACAGCCTGTGATGCACGAGGGGCTGCTGTCACAACTAAGTGTAATTGACGCTCTTGCCAATGGGAGAAAAATTATGGGGCATTTTAAGCATTCGCCACTTATGCATATACTTATTTGTAATATATTCAAAATGAACTGCAAAATGTCTCAAAAAGACTTTAAACAAGATGTAGAAAAGAGGTGGAACAGTATGTTATGTATGTTTCTAGCAGCCTAATTATAGATTTTTTGGCACAGATTTTTTCATCTGTATTTGCTAGTTTAAAAATATTCATAATATATAAAGTATAAATATATATTATATATATTTATTATATTACAATGAAAAGAGCTCTTGTATCGGAATCTGTCTTGGTATCGGCAGTTCTGTATCGGAATCGGATTGGAGCTGAAAAAATGTGGATCGGCCCATTCCTAGCTTGGACGATTGCAAAGCCTTTGCATAAACCTAGCGATCTCTAGAGGCAGGCCAATCAGCCCTAAGGCTGCTGGGACTGAAAAAGTGGGGGCCTGGCTGGCTTCCAGGGATGCCTGTCTCTGTGACGGCTCCCGAGGAGACTGAAAGCAAATGAGCCAATCAGATGTGCCCCCTTGGTACACGATAATTATTCCCAAGTGTTGGCTGGGACCCCTTCTGGCACGAGATGGAAGCGGCGTGACGGCACACGTGTTGAGCAAAACTGTCCTTCTCGTTCACTCTCGCCCCCTCTCCCTCCCTCCCTCTTGCAGGAAGGCCGTCAGGAAAGGTATGCCGAAACCGAACAGAAGCCTTCCTGCCGATCGCAAATGGCGCGGAAAACCAGGATACGCCGGGGGGACGAGCTTCCACGATAAAATTCTAAATTGGCTCCCAAGGGCCGAGCGGGGGGGCCTGCAGAGGCAGCACGCTGAAAGGGCCCCCGGACAGTGGCTGGGAATTCAGGGCCACCTGGGGCACATCCTTCGGGAGAGCTGTTGGCGGGAACGCAACGTAAATTGCAGGGGGGGGGGGGGAGATCTCGGTGTTCTGGGGTGACAGATGGCAAGGAGGAGGGGGCAGGGAGCTGGAAAGTAGCACCCTCCATTTGTACAGCATGATGGCAGCAAAGTGAAGGCAGCAGCTTAGTGGGGGTGTAAATAACTCATGTTTCTGGTGTAGATATAAAAAGAAGCACGGGGGTGGGCAGGTAGTGCAAATACATGTGATACCTGCTGTATGAGTTCAGGATATTATCCGCTGCCTGTTACGAGTGCCTGCCACTGAGTTATTGTGGCCTTCTTCTGCATGCGTGATGACGGTGTGGGCCAGTTTCCATAGGTTCGCTTTCTACCTGCATCACAGAGCAGGCAAATGATTATTCCTACAGAAGTAATGTTTATTCAATCTGAAAAATCAAGAAACATGGACGATAACGAGGAGCCCAGCCTTGCGAACAGACAGAGGAGTTCTGAGTTTATTTCTTGTCCTAAATGTCTACTTACAACAGGAGTGAACTGGGTAATGTGGAGAAAAGGCCCACACTGGAAACTGGTCCCCATAAGGGAAAAAAAATGGGTATTCATCACATTGTGGGGACATTGTGTCCCCATAAGGTAAGGTATACCCGCTCGCAAACAAAAACACAAACATACACACACACACACACACACACAAACACGTCTGCATTCACACACAATCCTGGAGAAAACAACAAGGCCCAACCTTTCATACAACCTTTCATTTTTCCCTCATACCAATAAAGGTGCCAGTTAGGAGAGTCTGAGCCTGATGATTTCCCACAAACACCCTCGGACGGGAAGGAGCAGGACATATTGACTTGGGGCAAAGGAAACTGTCAAAAACATTCTGGCCAGGGAGTGACAAATGGATCATAAAGCTGGACCTCCAATAGAAGAGCCGCTTCGTTTTCCATTTTAGTGAAAAAGTTTAATGTATTTATTTTTCCAGACTCTCCACAATTTAAATATTTATGACGTGAAATCCCAAAAAATAACCTCTCACCTAGTTACTGAGAACAGGAGACAAAAAATAACAGAGATTTGTATCCAAAACGCGAGCATGTATTTCATTTCTCGATTTATTATTAATACAGAATATAAATAATGAAAAGACAGAATCAAGTGGTAGCCCATGATGCAACTGAATTAATGACTGCTGTTGCGGAAACATTTCTGAAAAAAATGAGCATAAAAAAGAGAGAAAGGAGAGATTTTGGGAGGCATGTCAGCAAGGGTTAGGGTTAGGACACAAGCCTGAGGACGAAAAGGTGTGTTTGCAGGATGTAGCCTGTGGGGAATATTTTAATCCTGAACAAGCTGCCATTCTGGGAAAGGCTTTTATCCAGTGCTGGGGGAGAGGATGGCACATCTGCCAGGAGAGCTGGCATTATCAGCAGTGGCAGCCCCCCCCCAGAAAACTACATTTTTTACAGGCCTCTCCACTTCTGCAATTTGTCAAAAACTATTACCTGCCCCCCCTCTTGGCCAAGACCTGCACCCTACATTTCATGGAGCATAAAGCTTGAATGTACACCCACCCATATATAAACTCATACGTCCTTATAGAGTGACCTGTATACATGACCACATGTAATCAGATATATGAACACATATATGGGCATTTTACAGAGGATAGAGAGACCCCTCCCACATTGAGAAGTGTGCCCTGCACATGGGCCAGACTCAGACCATGCTCCGGGCTGGTTCGGCACAGCTGGGTCCGCTCAGGACCGCACACACAGACACAGTCAGGCACGCCTCGCCTGACCCAGCCATGTCACGGCACCCAAGATGACTGGGCCTGGAGCCGGCCGGGTGGGCCGGGCACATGGAATATTTTAACAAGCGGGGATGAGGGAATGAGACAGAAATGCGAAAGCAAAGCTTCAGCCTTCATGGTGTGTCGCTCTCAGATCCCAGTCACTCAATCATGAGCAGCTCACAGAAGCTGAAGAGATCTGAGACTCCGCCCCCCAGCCCCACCCCACCCCCCCATTGTGTGGCTTTTAGGTTTCCGCTCCAGGAGGATTAAGGCCTCGAGTCCAGTTTCCACCTCAAAGTGATCAACAGCAGTAAGACGCCATGAAGGAATTCCAGCCTCGGCCAGCGCGGTTAGTGGAATGCAAGGGGTTAATACTCTGACCTTTGACCTCTTTGACAGGTGCCAACCTTTTTCTCACACCAATGGAAGATATCCCTTTCCTACAGCGAGTCACCCGTCCATATAAATGTTAGGTTTCTCTTTCGGCACCAACAAAGTCCATACTTCTGGACTGAAAAGATAATGTTTTCAAAAGTGTCAGCTATGTGGAATAACAGCACTCATACTACAGTCATTGTTCTTTTACTTTGTCAACTGCAAGAATCATTTTTTTTTACTCCAGCATTGTTTTCCCATTTCAGAACTGGAAAAAAAATCTGGGCAGAAGAAATGTTGGTCATAGCAAGTGGCCAGCTGTCCCAAGTCTACGTTTTGATTGTGTGATTGAGTGAGGCATGATGGGAAAGGAAAGCTTGGACTGGACCCTCCTAAAACAAACCAGAAGGATCCAAAAACAGCCAGCGCATACTGCGGTTCATGCATTTTTTTCCACTCAACTTGATTTTGCATCAAAACGCTAAGGCAAAATT